GCCCCACACTTCAAGAAGGATGTGGATAAATTGGAGAGAGTCCAGCGAAGGGCAACAAAAATGATTAGGGGACTGGAACACATGAGTTATGAGGAGAGGCTGAGGGAGCTGGCATTGTTTAGCCTGCAGAAGAGAAGAATGAGGGGGGATTTGATAGCTGCTTTCAACTACCTGAAAGGGGGTTCCAAAGAGGATGGCTCTAGACTGTTCTCAATGGTAGCAGATGACAGAACGAGGAGTAATGGTCTCAAGTTGCAGTGGAGGAGGTTTAGATTGGATATTAGGAAAAACTTTTTCACTAAGAGGGTGGTGAAACACTGGAATGCGTTACCTAGGGAGGTGGTAGAATCTCCTTCCTTAGAGGTTTTTAAGGTCAGGCTTGACAAAGCCCTGGCTGGGATGATTTAACTGGGAATTGGTCCTGCTTCGAGCAGGGGGTTGGACTAGATGACCTTCTGGGGTCCCTTCCAACCCTGATATTCTATGATTCTATGATTGTTCTGTTCATTTCCTTTGACGCACCTGGCATTGGCCACTGTCGGAAGAGAGGATACTGGGCTAGATGGACCATTGGTCTAACCCAGTATGGCTGTTCCTATATTCTTATGTGGAATAAAGAGAAAGAACTGGAAGTCTTAGTACAGACGCTAAATTATGACTTAATTGGAATCACAGAGTCTTGATGGGATAAGTCTGATGACTGGAATATTGTTATAGAGGGGTATAGCTTGTTGACGAAGGACAGGGAGGGTAAAAAGGGTAGAGGTGTTGCATTATACATCAGGAATATATATATACTTGTTCTGAGGATCCAGAAGGAGATGGGAGGTAGATCAGTTGAGAGTCTCTGGGTAAACAGAAAAGGGGTAAAAAAAAGGGGTGATATCATAGTACGGGTCTATGGCAGATCAACAAATTAGGAAAAGGAGGTGGATGAGGCATTTCTAGAATAACAGAAATATCCATAACACAAGACCTGGTAATAATGGGGGACTGTAACTACCCAGACATCTGTTGGAAAAATAATACAGCAAAACACAAAATGTCCAATGAGTTCTTAAAATATATTGGGGACAGCTTTTTGTTCCAGAAAGAGGGAGGAAATAAGGAGGGGGACAGCCATTTTAGACTTGATTCTGACCAATGGGGTGAAATTAGTAACAAATCTGAAGGTGGAAGGCAATTTGGCTGAAAGTGATCATGAAATGATAGATTTCATGATTCTAAGGAAAGGAAGGCGTGAGAACAGAAGAATAAGGACAATGGACTTCAAAAAAGCAGACTTTTACAAACTCAGAGAACTGGTCGGTAAGGTCATGTGGGAAGAAAATCTAAGGGTTAAAAGTAGCTCAGGAGAGCTGGCAGTTTCTGAAAGAGACAATATTAAAGGCACAGCTGCAAGGGAAGGATAGGAAGAATAGTAAGAGGCTAATATGGCTCCATCAGGAGCTCTTTAATGACCTTGAAAGTAAATTTTAAAAACCTACAAAAAGTGGAAAAATGGCCAAATTGCTAGGGAGGAGTACAAAAGAATGGCACAAACATGAAGGGACAAAATCAGAAAGGCTGAGTCGCAAAATGAGTTCCATCTATCAAGGGCCATAAAAGGCAATAAGAAGAGGTTCTTTAAATACATTAAGAGCAGGAGAAAGATGGAGAAAAGTGTAGGTCCTCTACTTAACAGAGAAGGAGAGCTAATAACCGATGACATCAAGAAGGCTGAGGTGTTTCATATCTATTTTGCTTCACACTTCACTAGAAAGGTTAACGGTGTCCAGATACTCAACACAATTAATATTAATAACAAGGGGGAAGGAACACAACCTAAAATAGGGAAAAAACAGGTTAAACAATATTTAGGTAAGTTTGATGTATTCAAGTCAGGAGGGCCTGATGGAATTCATCCTCAGGTTCGTATTGAAATCGCTGAAGGAATCTTGGCACCTTTAGCAATTATCTTTGAGAACTCATGGAGGATGGGTAAAGGTCCAGAAGATTGGAGAAGGGCAAACATAATACCTCTCTTTATACAGGGGAATGAAGAGGACCCGGGGAATAATAGACTAGTCAGTCTAACTTCCATACCTGGAAAGATACTGGAATAAATTATTGAATAATCAGTTTGTGAGCACCTGGAGGATAAGAGTTATAAGGAATAGCCAGCATGGATTTGTCAAGAACAAATTTTGCCAAACTAACTCAATTTCTTTTGTTGACAGGGTTACCAGTCTAGTGAATAGGATGAAACAGTAGATGTGATATATCTTGATTTGTAGTAAGGCTTTTGACACAGTTTCACATGACATTCTCATAAGCAAACTAGGGAAATAGGATCTAGATAAATGCATTATAAAGTTGGTGCACAACTGCTTGAAAGACCATTCTCAGAGCATAGTTATCAATGGTTTGCTAACAAAGTGGGAGGACATATCTAGTGAGGTTCTGCAGGGGTCTTTTCTGAGTCTGGCACTATTCAATATTTAAATTAATGATTTGGATGATGGAGTAGAGAGTATGCTTATAACATTTGCATATGACACCAAACTATGAAATGCTACAAGCACTTTGGAGGACAGGATTAGAATTCAAAATGATCTTCATAAATTGAAAAATTTGTCTGAAATAAGATGAAATTCAATACAGACATGCAAAGTACTACAGTTAGGGAAAAAAATCAAAAGCACAATTACAAAATGAGGAATGACTAGCTAGATGATAGTACTGCTGAAAAGGATCTCAGGGTTACAGTGAACCACAAATTGCGTATGAGTGATATAACAATGTGATGCAGTTGTGAAAAAAGCTAATCTACTTCTGGGCGTGTAGTAACAGAAGAGTCGCATGTAAGACGTGGAAGGTAATTGGCCTGCTCTATTTGGCACTGGTGAGGCCTCTGCTGGAGTACTGGAAAACTGTTTTGGATACCACACTTTAAAAAGGACGTGGACAAGTTGAAGAGAGTCTAGAGGAGAGCAACAAAAATTATAAAAAGTTTAGAAAGCCTGACCTCTGAGGAAAGATTGAAAGAATTTCGCATGTTTAATCTAGAGAAATGACAGCTGAGGGGGGGACATGATAGTATTCAAATATGTAAAAGGTTGCCAAAAAGAGGTTGGTGATCAACTGTTCTCTATGTCCACTGAGGATAGGACAAGAAGTAATTGGCTTAGTTTGCAGCGTGGGAGATTTAGGTTATATATTAGGTTATATAAACTTTCTAATTATAAGAGTAATTAAACACTGGAACATATTACTTAGGGAGGTTGTGAAATCCCCATCACTGGATGATTTTAAGAACAGTTTAGACAAATGCTTGTCAGGGATGGTCTAGTCTGCCTCAGCATGGGGGGAGGGGAAGACTAAAGGACCTCTTGAGGTCCCTTCCGGCCCTGCATTTCTATGATTCTATCCTATATGGCAAATCTTGTTTCTATCACAAAGATGGACTTAAAGGCAAGGACGCAGGGCATTTCTCTGTGTGGAAATGAGAGGCTGTGAAATCAACAACTCCTTCAGAGCAGATTTATCTGCTGTCTAGAAATCAGCAAACTCAAGAATGATTTTATGAATAAGTAGCACCAACCTCAAATTAAATCCACAGTTTCCTCATGGGACCTTCAAGTCAGGCTGCGACTGGAGGTGCACTGTACAATGGGATAAATATATGGTATGCCCCATCGTGTATAACATGAAGGCTTGATTTGTGAGCAGAGCTAAGTGTCCTGAACTTCCATTAACTTCACCATTCAGTGCCATTCCAGCACAGGCTAGGAACAAAACTCACCACCAACGAACAAGGTTTTATGTGTAAAGGGGATTGTGTGTTCTTTCTCTGGAGACAGCAATAAATTGCTTACCTCCTAGTGCAGCTCTGGTGTGTAAGTTCAGACTGAGACTAATGAGATCCAAACCACCCACTGCTTTCCCCTGTGGTTTCCAGCAAATGGGCTCATGAAGAAATTGGGTTTTTTTTCCCCTCTAATAATTAAATTTTTAGCTACCAACAACATGCAAAATAGAACCCATGTTGACCTTTCTGTTCCGTTGCACTCACCACATCTTTGACCATCTCCTGGCTGTTCCACTTGCCGTCACAGATGCTGAGGTAGCATTTTGTTTTCTACCACTATACTATAGATTCCTTTAATTATGTATGCTCCCCCGGGACTCCTCACATTCCTGTGTGTCGTTCCCAGCTGTGACCTGGTGCCATGTTGTCCATTTGTCAGCAGTACAACTAGAATAGTAATGAATGTGCTCTTCATCACTTCAGCTGTACTGTACATAGACCCTTACAGGAGAAGGTGCTGTAATGACAAGTTTGAACTTAAATCTTTGTCAGCATTTCTTTCTTTGGATCTGGGTAATACATTATTGACTAGATTGTGCCAGACAGGCACAGAGGGGTGACTATGTTTTCAGCTTTCCGGTAGGGAAGGAAAAAAAAAGCATTTCTAGCCTTTTTCCTTCACTTTCTTTGTTCTGTATTGAAATTTATAATTGTCACTGCTTCGCTTTTCTAGCAGTCCTTGTTTGGTACTCGTTCAGTGCTGCAAAGAGCAGTTTCAGGCCAGTGTATCTTTCACTGCTAGGTTATGGAGAATAGCATTCTGGATCTTCTGCTTTAGAACATGTGTATCTGCCACTCGAGTTTTTGTGAAGGAAAGATTTGAGTAGCATTAAGGCTTACGTTCTCTTTTAGCCCTGCTGTTGGAAGTTCGTGTAACTGTAAACACAGGAGCATTCAACAGAAGGCACTGTACTCACTAACCAGTATATTGGGGCTTTGGTACATTGCTTCTGTAACTGGACTTCTTTTTGTACTTAATAGGTGTTCTGAAATATGAAGGCGCATGCTTGTGACTGTCACCTAAGGGAGAATGCAGTGTGTGTGTGTGTTACATGTGTTTGCGAGTGTGTATGTAAAGTATTTTGCTTGTCAGACTTGTGGCTTTATGCAGCGGACAAGGAATTAATTTGTATTTTCTCTCTTTTCCCAGGCCCCCTCCATTCTCAGTTCCTTCCCTGGAGTGATGGAAAGCTCCTCTGTGGCCTCTGCCTCCTCTGAGGCAGGGAGTAGCCGATCTCAGGAAATCGAAGAGCTGGAGAGGTTCATTGACAGCTACGTCCTTGAGTACCAAGTCCAAGGTCTGCTGACCGACAAAACGGAAGGGGACGGGGAGAGTGAGAAAACGCAGTCCAACATCTCGCAGGTTAGTGCAACTGAACATGAGGAGTTAAACCAAGATGCGGGGTCACCATGAAATGGTGTCCTGCTCTCTAAGAGATGGGCTGTTGGGTTGGATACATATTATGTGCATTTAGCTAAGCGGGCATCTACAGATCTTGGCAGTGAAGGGTGTGCGGGATAGTGCACTGGCAGATTCTTGCTCCTTGAGATGGCTAGTAAAGATCTTTTGTCAATTACATTCTTCAGCAGAGGTTCCCAAAATAGCCCTAATGTTTTAGCTTCTGTAGAAACACCTCTGAGTTTTAATTTGAAGAGAAATTCTGTCTTCTCATAAATATCAGCTCTCAGGGCACAAAGGGCTGGAGTTTCTGCTCTGATGAACTGGGGCTGGGAATTGCTGCTCCTACTGGTGGGAGGAAGAAGAAAATCTGTGCGCATGGAAGATAGAGTGGAGAGCTGGCTTCTGTGGCTCAGATCAGCAATCTGCTGCTCTGATGGAGTTGTTAGGAAGGAGTGACTGCTCTGTACTGCAAGTGGGTGCTTTGTTAGATTACAGAGGGGGCCAAGAGAGAGATACTTTTGCAAGGAACTATGCAATTCCCTTCCCGCCCCTACTCATTGCACCACCAGCAAAAACACAGCGACCCACGCCCCGTATGGACTGTTTTGTCTTGACCTGTCTGAATGGGATGTGTTGCAGTAACACTGGCTGAGGGATATTAAGCTTGGCAGAGGTGCTGACTTTCTATTGTGCCGGGGGGTGCTCGGCCCCTGCTCCGCCCCAGATCCTGTCCCCGCTCCACCCCTTCCCCCAAAGCCCAACCCTTCCTCTTCCTGCCGCCGCTCCACCCCCGCCCCACCTCTTTCTTTCCCATCCTGTTCTGCCCCCTCCCCGGAGTGTGCCCCGCCTTTGCTCCTCCCCTTTCCCCCTCCCAGTGCCTCCTGCACACCGCTGAACAGCTGATCACAGCAGGTGGGAAGAGCTGGGGGGAGGGGGCGGAGCTGATTGGGGGGGCTGCTGGTGGTTGCTCAGCTCCCACCTTTCTTTTTCCCCGTGGGCGCTCCAGCCCGGGAGCACCCCCGGAGTCAGCACCCCTGAAGTGTGGTGATGTGTTGAGCAATGGAAAAGTGCTTGTTAGAACCTAAAGACCTGTACTGCATTGATTCTAAGGGTAGCTCCCACTGATATTTGGGAGCACACTGATTCATGATCAAATGCAGCACATGGCCCAGAAACCTCCATAAATGGATGCGTATGGCTGCTGCTCATTCAGTGACCTGCGGGCTTATTGCAAAATTGCCATTTTTTGCTAAAAGACACCTGATATATTTCTGGTTTGGAAGGGTGCAAAGGCCCAGGAGAGAGGGATTGTCTAAGGGAGGAATGGTTTGGGGTTGTCAGTGGAAGGGGTACAACTAGAAATAAAACTAGAAAGTTACATACTAGGGGTGTAATTTTTAAAATGGACAATTTGGGCTGAACGTCATAAAAAACGAGAGCTGTCTCCTGAGCGAAATTGTTGGTTTGTGCTACCTTGGGCTAGGCGCATTCCAAACAAGTAAAATGGTAGAGATACTGTCAAGGTTCCTCCCCCACTCTGAACTCTAGGGTACAGATGTGGGGACCTGCATGAAAAACCTCCTAAGCTTATCTTTACCAGCTTAGGTTAAAACTTCCCCAAGGTACAAAATATTACACCTGTTATCCTTGGAATGGCCGCTACCACCACCAAACTAATACTGGTTACTGGGGAAGAGCTGTTTGGACGCGTCTTTCCCCCCAAAATACTTCCCAAAACCTTGCACCCCACTTCCTGGACAAGGTTTGGTAATAAGCCTCACCAATTTGCCTAGGTGACTACAGACCCAGACCCTTGGATCTTAAGAACAATGAACAATCCTCCCAACACTTGCACCCCACCTTTCCTGGGAAATGTTGGATAAAAAGCCTCACCAATTTGCATAGGTGACCACAGACCCAAACCCTTGGATCTGAGAACAATGAAAAAGCATTCAGTTTTTTACAAGAAGACTTTTAATAAAAAATAGAAGTAAATAGAAATAAAGAAATCCCCCCTGTAAAATCAGGATGGTAGATATCTTACAGGGTAATTAGATTCAAAAACATAGAGAACCCCTCTAGGCAAAACCTTAAGTTACAAAAAAGATACACAGACAGAAATAGTTATTCTATTCAGCACAATTCTTTTCTCAGCCATTTAAAGAAATCATAATCTAACACATACCTAGCTAGATTACTTACTAAAAGTTCTAAGACTCCATTCCTGTTCTGTCCCTGGCAAGAGCAGCATACAGACAGACACAGACCCTTTGTTTCTCTCCCTCCTCCCATCTTTTGAAAGTATCTTGTCTCCTCATTGGTCATTTTGGTCAGGTGCCAGCGAGGTTACCTTTAGCTTCTTAACCCTTTACAGGTGAGAGGAGCTTTCCCCTGGCCAGGAGGGATTTCAAAGGGGTTTACCCCTCCCTTTATATTTATGACAGATACGTTTGAGAGGAAGGATGGTCCAGTGGTTAGGGCGCTAGACTAGACCTGGGTTCAAGTCCCTGCTGTGTCACAGGCTACCTGTATAGCCTTGGGCAAATCACTCTGTGTCTCAGTTCCCAATCTGTACAATGGGAACAGTAGCACTTCACTGCCTCACAGGGATGCTGTGTGAATAAATGCATGAGAGATTGTGAGGCGCTCAGATGCTCTAGAGAGAGGGCCTATGTAAGTACTTAAGACAGTACACAGATGCAGTCCCTGCCCCTAAGGCCATATCTTTAACTATTGGTACTGCCCTCAATTTAATTTAAAATTGAAAATGGATTCAAGCATCCAATTTCATACCTAGGTTTGGAGCTGGATATTGAATACACCAAGGTCAAGGTGTGTTTGAGTCCCTTTCTTTGTTACAGTCATTATTTTTGTATTGCGGTAGCTCCTAGGAGCCCCTGTCATGGACTGGGACCCCATTGTGCTAGGCGCTGTACAAACAGAACAAAAAGACAGTCTGTGTGCCAAACATGATTTATTTAAAAATAATCCTTTTGGATGCATGGGAGAGTGTACTGTCAGGAGAAATCCCACCCTGGCAGAGGGATGGAATAGAAGACACATTCCAGTCTTTAACTGCTCTGATTTCTGTGAGCCTTCCAGTCATCATAGAAAGACTTGGTCTTGTTGTTCCACTCTGTGCATTTGTTTGCTTCCATGATTGACTTTTCTTTCTGTAGCTTGTATTTAGCTTTTCTGCTGTGCCTGAGGCCATGGTGGCTACTCACATCGAAACCCAAAGTGCAGCAGGAGTCAGGGTGGAAGGGTTTTGTTTTGGTTGTGTGTCCATGCCTCTCACAGTGAGGTCACTAGAAGTCCTGAATCACCAGGGGACCAGTCTTATTTAATATTTTCATTCATGATCTTGGCATGAAAAGTGGGAGTGTGCTAATAAAATTTGCAGATGATGCAGAGTTGGGAAGTATTGCCAATATGGAGAAGGACTGGAATATCCTACAAGAAGATCTGGAGGACCTTGAAAACTGGAATAATAGAAATGGGATGAAATGTAATAGTGCAAGGTTATGCATTTAGGGACTAATAACCAGAATTTTTGCTATAAACTGGGAGCATATCAATTGGAAGTGACAGAGGAGGAGAAAGACCTGGGTGTATTGGTCGATCACAGGATGTCTCTGAGCTGCCAATATGATGCAGCCCTGAAAAAGACTAATGCACTCCTGGGATGCATCAGGCGAGGTATTTCCAGTAGAGAGAGGGATGTGTTATTACCATTATATAAGGCATCATCTGGAATACTGTGTGCAGTTTTGGTCTCCCATGTTTAAGAAAGATGAATTCAAACTGGAACAGGTGCAGAGAAGGGCTACTAGGATGATCAGAGGAATGGAAAAGCTACCTTATGAGAGGAGACTAAAGGAACTTGGCATGTTTAGCCTAACCAAACAAAGGCTGAGTGGAGGTATGATTGCTCTGTATAAACACATCAGGATAAATACCAGGGAGGGAATGGAGTTATTTAAGTTAAGTTCCAATGTTGACATGAGAACAAATGGATATAAACTGGCCATCAACAAGTTTAGGCTTGAAATTAGATGTAGGTTTCTAACCACTGGAGGAGTAAGGTTCTGGAACAGCCTTCCAAGGAGAGCAGTGGGGGCAAAAAACCTAACTGGCTTCAAGACTGAGCTTGATAAGTTTATGGAGGGGATGGTATGATGAAACTGCCTACAATGGCATGTGGCCCATCTGCAACTGCTAGTAGTGAATATCTCCATGCCCAGAGATGGGCACTAGATGGGGAAGGCTCTGAGTTACTACAGAGAATTCTTTCTCAGGTGTCTGGCTGGTGGGTCTTGCCAACATGCTCATGATCTAACTCAGAGGTGGGCACACTATGGCCCGCGGGCCACATCCAGCCCGCAGGGCCCCTGAGCTCCTGGCTGGGGAGGCTAGCCACCGGCCCCTCCCCTGCTGTTCCCCACCCCGCAGCCTCAGCTCACTGCGCTGCCAGCGCTCTGGCTTGCCACTCCTGCTGGGCAGCGCGGCGGTGTGGCTGGCTCCGGCACGGTAAGGGGACAGGGAGCAGTGGGGGTTGGATGGTTTGGGGGGGGGAGCAGTCAGGGGACAAGGAGCAGGGAGCGGTTGGATAGGCGTGGGAGTCCCGTGGGCTTGTCAGGGGGTGGGGGTATGGATACGGGTCGGGGCAGTCAGGGGAACAAGGAGCAGGGTGGGTTGGATAGGGCAAGGGGTTCCGGAGGGGGCAGTTAGGAGCAGGGGGTCCCGGGAGGGGGTGGTCAGCGGACAAGGAGCAAGGGAGGTTGGATGGGTCGGGGATTCTGAGGGGGCAGTCAAGGGGCGGGAAGTGGGAGGGGGCAGATAGGGGGCAGTGGCCCGGCTGTTTGGGGAGGCACAGCCTTTTCTACCTGGCCCTCCATATAGTTTTGCAACCCCGATGTGGCCCTCGGGCCAAAAAGTTTGCCCATCCCTGATCTAACTGCTCACCATATTTGGGATTAGGAAGGAATTTTCCCTCAGGTCAGGTTGGCAGAGACCCGGGTGGGTTTTCACCTATGGGCGCAGGTCACTTGCGGTTGAAACTAATGTAAATGTTGGATTCTCTGTAACGTGAAGACATATCATCATGATTTGAGGACGTCAGTAACTCAGCCAGATGTTTTGGGTCTATTACAGGAGTGGGTGGGTGAGGTTCTGTAGCCTGTGATATGCAGGAGATCAGACTACTTGATCACAAATGGCCCTTTCTGGCCTTAAAGTCTGGGTCTTTTTCCAGTTTTCCACGTCTTCAAAGGATGTGCAGGCTTCCCATCCTGGTGGAGGTTCAGGAAGCGATTTAGTAACGTATTGGGCGTTTGTAGTTCGGTTTGCCAGCTTGTCTCACAGAATAGTCTGTGTCGGTAGTGAACCGACAGTGAAAGCAATGTTTGTGATGCTGCATTTTATAGGAGGGGCTGCTTTTGCAGCGATGTGATCTTGGAAGTCAAATGGCTTTCAAACACCAATAAAAAGACAACTCTCTCTCTCCACGTGGAAGTGCCTTGTAAAGAGCCCTGCCGTGGTGACAGCCCAGAGAGACTTGTTTCCTTTGTGACTGATGTTGGATCATGAGTGAATAACAGCAAGGGACCATGCACTGGGAGGTGCATTGGCATTTCCCTGCTCAGAATGCAATGCAGGGAGCAGGGATGGCAGAGCTGCTCTAGAGACTTCCTTACACCCCTAATCTGCCCCATCGAGTTGAGCTGGGTTGGGTTGGGCTGGGAGTTGGTCACTTTTAACTATAGTTTCAAAGAGGAACATAGGGTTGGTTAGATTCTGCATCTTGTTCTGCTTTTACATGGTGCCTATCACGTTATATCCTGGGGGAAGATATGTGCAGAAACCAAGCCAGTGACAATTGTAGGCCCAGTGGCTCAGAAGGAAGCAGCTGTTCTGTCAACAGGAAAAATCGGGAGAATGAGGGTTGACATACCAAAATAACTCAAAGTGAACTGACCTGATGAGAAAGGCCTTGATGACTGTTATAGAGGGACTTGGGCAAATGTGCCCAGGGAGACAGTTCCATAGAGAGGAGGTGGTCTGTGAACTGAGAAGGCCCCACCTTGAGCCAGATGTGCTCAAGGACCATTATGAAGGATATGATTGTGAAGTGATTCTGTGTTGTAGCCAGCAGTGAAAGGAGGTCGGGGAGAATAGGAGCTTGAATTCCCTCCCTGTGTCCTGTCGCTGTTTCACTTATGAAACAATATCCAATAAGCACCAGCCGTGGCTCTGAATGAGGACTGGAGTTTTTAATAATGGACAGTATAAGAGCTCAGATCTCCACAGGTTTCAATGTAAAGGAGGCATTTGTCCATAGCACCTCTTATTCACAAAACTATTCATGGCTCCTTAGACCACCCAAGCAATAGGCTCCACTATGTTATATGGGCAGCATCTGTAGACGGGGAAGGAGAGAAGCAGAATGGGGCTATGGTGCAGCTTCACGAGAATGACTGAGCGTGCTTGGGAGCCCAAGGAGGAGGATTCGTCTATTGACTTAGCTACTGCCTCTCAAGGGGTTGAATTTACTGTAGTGATGGAAAAAACCCTTCCATCACTGTAGCAAGCATCTACACTACTGCGGCATACCTGCAGCACAACCATGGTAGCACTTGTAGTGTAGACATAGCCTTAGACTATATTTTCGGGCAAGTCACTTGTACTCTCTGTGCCTCAATTCTCAATGAGTTTAATAATGTTTTCCTTCCCAACAGAGGTATTGTGAGGGTAAATTCATTCACTGACATGTCTGAAGTGCTCAGATAGTACAGTGATGGAGGATACTTACTATAAGTCCCTAGAAAGGGGAGGAAGTGTTAAATGCTACTGTGTATCATGAATTGGCTCTAGTCTCCATTTCCTTACCCTAGCCCTTGAAGTCCTACAGCAGTGGCATTTCTGCCAGTGGGGCACTTGGGATGCTGCTCCAGTCAGAAGAAAACAAGAGAGAATAAAGTGAGAGTAAAATAAATGTAACTTCTGCTTAATTTGTGCCAGGACTTGGCAGTTCATAGCCCCGGCACCTCTCGGCTTGGCAGTTCATAGCCCCGGCAACTCTGGGCTTGCTGCATCAGTTATGAATGTAAAAAAATTGCTTGAGCCACAGCACCTAATTGCTTGAGCCCCAGCAGTATGCCGCTTGCAGCTGTTAATATAACAGAATAGCTGTCCCATAAGACAGGTTTCAGAGTAGCAGCCGTGTTAGTCTGTATCCGCAAAAAGAAAAGGCATCTGATGAAGTGAGCTGTAGCTCACGAAAGCTTATGCTCAAATAAATTGGTTAGTCTCTAAGGTGCCACAAGTCCTCCTTTTCTTTGTCCCATAAAGGTATTCATTCCAGGGCTGTTGTTTCTGTGCCTCAGATTGCTAAGGGGATACATGCATAATTCCAGCAGAAGGTTTTCCAGTATATCAGTAACAAGACTTCACTGAAATGTTGAACAGCCACAGCAGTGCCCTTAATAAATAAGCACAGGCACAGTTAAGGTCAATTATAATAACCTACCTAAAATGTTGACCAGGTGTTGCCACTGCCAGGAGGGTGAGATCTTATATACAGGTCACTTTTGAAGTGGCTGTTTCTAATATTGGCCCTTCATGTTTTGTGGCCTTGTCCTCATCGATCCTTAAATGGTCAGATTAATTCCTGTTTCTACTTGTGTGGAATTCACTTACTCCTTGCTTTGTGCATCAGCCTCTGTGATGTCATCAGCAGAGTAAATAGCTCTAGAATAACATTTGCCTCAAGTTGGAGCAGCAGAGAGAGCTCAGTAATGGGGCGGGGTGACAATTTTCCATCCCAACTGTTCTTTGACAGAAAATTGGGTTTTTCATGAAACGTGTCTTGTTTCAGCAGAAAACGCCAGGTTTTCTTTGAAAAAACAAATGCTCCAAAACTGAAGTACTTCGGTTTGGATTTCATGCTCTGGTGCCTCATGGGAAGTCATAGTTCAGTTTTCTCATGTTCACGTTATCTGCTATGGGTTGGTCTTCCCACCTGGGCTACATCTCTTATGATGCACTACTGCAAGATACTCGCTGGGGCCAATCATCTCTCACCATGAGGGGAGACCACTGTTCATCATGGCAGATGTAGTCCAGTCAAGTAACTTGGCCTGTAGAGAAGAATGGGAGCACGAGGCACCACGGCAGCATTTTTGGATCAAAATATCTCAATTTTCAGCTGAAATATTCTGTTTTTTAATTTTTTGCTGAAAAGTCAACTTTTTTATGGAAAATTTCCTTTTTTTTTTTTCTTTTTTCATTTTTGGCAAAAGATTTTTCATGAAAAAAGTGCATTTTCTGATCAGCAGTGTCTTTTGTGAACAGTCCCTCTTGCCAAACATGAACACGTCAGTACCGTAGAGTTTCCTTGGGTTCCAAGAACATAGAATATCAGAGTTAGAAGGGACCTCAGGAGGTCATCTAGTCCAACCCTCTGCTCAAAGCAGGACCAATCCCCAATTTTTGCCCCAGATCCCTATATGGCCCCCTCAAGGATTGAACTCACAATCCTGGGTTTAGCAGGCCAATGCTCAAACCCTATCCCTCCTATCCCTCCCCCCAGTCTGATGGTGTTTTGCTAGACGCAGGGGTTTGATTTGACAGTTTTCCCAACTTAGCTATTATTTTACACAATGCCTTTCTATCCTTTTTGCAGTGGACAGCGGATTGTAGTGAGCAGCTGGATGACAGCTGTTCCTCATCGAGAGGAAAGGGCTTACCGTCTCACGAACACAATCAGGTAGGGAACGTGCTTAGCTCTTCCTGTCAAAGCTCTTGCTCTTTTAACTCAGGGTCACTGAGCCTTGGTGTTGTCAGCATTCACTTTCCTAGAGGTAAGAGATGATTCCTGGAGTCTGCGGTGACTCCTCAGTTAAGGAGGAGGAATAGCAGTGGAAGCAGATAGTGAGAATTTCAATATGGAGGTTCCCAGATCTTGGAAGAAGAGTTTTTGGGCTATAATGACTTAGATAGGCCAGGACACTAGCTCCTTTGAGCATTGTACCTCCCTTAGCACTCGTACAGGAGCTGTACTGTACCACTTGGTCATTGTTGATTGGTGTATTATCAGGCTTGAAATGAAGCTTTAGACTTTGTGTTCTGAATCCTGGAAACTAGACATGGGAAAGACCTATTGAATCATCTAGTCCATCCAGTAGCAAGGGAAGATTATGTGTTTGGTGTGTAGGTGTGGGTGGAGTAGGAGGCATGGATTTCATTTCTTATCACTATCCAGTCTGAAATTCTGTTTCATCCCTCTTCTCCAGCTAAGGCAGCCGGAGACCTTATCTTTTCACCCACCCTGAAATAAATAGTCAATCAGGAAAAGCCAACCTTTCCTCTCCTAGCAAAAACCACTGTCAACGGAAAAGCTCCCCACTTGAAGACAGACCATTTTAAACAGAAATATATTTCTGTCCAGCAAAGGGCAGAGAGGGCTTGGAGGGTGCTGTTGATTCATGGAGAGCTTTTTAAGAAAAGCCCCGTGAGATAGCAACTCAGTGTCAAAGTCAGATTGAATATGTGAACTAAAATTCAGGTATGGGAGTCTTGTGTACAGCATGTTTCAGAGTAAGAGCCGTGTTAGTCTGTATTCGCAAAAAGAAAAGGAGTACTTGTGGCACCTTAGAGACTAACCAATTTATTGCATGCTTTGTGTGTATAAAAAGATCTTCTACACTTTCCACAGTATGCATCCGGTGAAGTGAGCTGTAGCTCACGAAAGCTTATGCTCAAATAAATTGGTTAGTCTCTAAGGTGCTACAAGTACTCCTTTTCTTTTTGTGTACAGCATGTGAAAGTATGTGCCAGCTGATATGTTTACTGCAATGTAAGGATCGTGTTCTAGGAAGAAAGAAGAGACTGAGTTAAATATCCATGTGGGCGAAGTCTGATTGTGGAGGTTAGATCACAAACCCATCATAGCCATGTGTTGTAAAGTAGATGCACTAGTGAAAGCAGAGTACAAGATGGGGGGAGGGATAGCTCAGTGGTTTGAGCATTGGCCTGCTAAACCTAGGGTTGAGAGTTCAATCCTTGAAGGGGCCATTTAGGAATCTGGGGTAAAAATTGGGGATTGGTCCTGCTTTGAGCAGGGGGTTGGACTAGATGACCTCCTGAGGTCCCTTCCAACCCTGATATTCTATGATCTGTGTATACAGTGAACAGGAGGGTAAAGTTCCGTACTGGCACACACATGGTTTCCTGCCTATTACTTTCCTTCCTCACTTACGTGAGAGGGCCCAAGACTGAGGCAGCAGAAGAGTTTAATAAGTAGCTCCAGAGAGAGCATGTCCCACTAGTCAGGGCTTCTGAAGCAAAATGTTGCAGTGCTGGAAGTAGCAGCATTCTTTCTATTTTGGCATATGGATAAATCAGCACTCCCATCTCCTGCTGGCAGTTCCCCCTGGGCATCACTCATCACCAGCCAAAACAGGAAAGCAGGTCGCCTCGGAACCGTGGCAGCTGTTGTGGGACTGGAGCATTTTACAGTGGTACGGTGTAAAATGAGCTCGGTACGTGACTTGCAAGAACACTATGAACAAAGCGTCTGGAAAATAAGAGCTGAGGTTGAATTCATAATTTAAAAAAAAAAAAGAATTCTCCAGCGTCAGCCAATTCTGTCTTAGCCACTAGTTCCCAAACTGTGCTCAACAGGGCGCTGGGGGGTGGTTCTCTGGTTACTGTCTGGTGATGTGGTGGTGGCTCTTTTCAGCTCTTTCTACAGGTATTCGAGCTGTGAACAAGGAGGAGCTAACCGAGCTTTATCCATTAGGGGCTGGAAGGATTGGGAACAGAGCCACTCTGTGCTGCTATTTAGACAGAAAGATCTGAGGCAGCTGGGAAACCTATTCAGGGGAAGGGCACGAGAAGCACATGCATAGGATGACAGCAGACCACGTGTCAGCAAACCTGTTCAGGAAGAAGAGTTGGTAGAGGGAGAGGAAATGAGCAAAGTAAAACCTTTTTCAGTCAAGACTTTTTACTGAATTCAGGACAGTTAAAGGGATGTTTTCATGTGGACACTTTCATGTCCCTTTGACTGTCATGTGCAGAGGTTTGTAATAATCACCATTTGGAGCTTGCACAGTTGCCAGTGTAGGGGTAGGTGCTGGGGGCCTGTATAAATGGGAGGTGCCCGCAAGACACATCTCAGTAACAAGCCATGGTCCATGCTATCAGAAAGCTTGAGACACCCTGCTCCAACAGCAACCTGCGCATGAAATTGTGTGTTGAGCACTGCATTGAGATGCAGAGCTATTTCTATTCTGTGTCCCTGTCTTGTCGCTGCTTCTTCCCAAACAGATCTGTACGATCTGGCCTTCTCACTCTCCACAGTGCTATAATTGTCTCCAACAGCCCACATCGTCACCTGTCCTCAGGATGGAAATTCCCATTTACATTCAGTTCTGGTGCTTGGATAGTCTCGATGATGGATGTTCTAGAAAAGCCTAAGAAAAATAGATACGCAAACCTACGTAAGAAAGGAAGATAAAACCCTGTCCCAAAGAGCTTTGTGATGCATAGCTCCACACCAGTCAGGAAGGAGTTAAAGAGTGGGCCACCAAAAGGGAGGATCCCTGCTTAGTGCAGGGTAGCACTCTGAAGGAGCAGGACTGCAGCTCAGAGCTCACTGACCCCCAGAAGAAGGGGTTGGTGACTGGAGAAACAGCTAGAGAGCTTGGCTGGATAGGACCACTCACCATTGAAAAGGGCTGGTACTTTTTTCTTTTGTTTGCTTTGGCTTCCTGATGGCCTAGGGCTCTCTTTTTTGTGGGCTGTAGGAGTAAGTGTCTTTTTGTTTGTATTACTTTAACTGTCCCATGCAGGGGGTCAGAGACCTCGAGCAGCACAGCTAGAGGGTTGTGCCCTGGACTCCAAGACAGAAGCAGTGTCCACCCCGTCCCCAGGGGGGTGCTAGAGTATTATAGTCTACTACAAGCTTACAGTGTGAAAGGAGACAGAGCTACAGACACTTATTAAATCGAACTTATTAAACTGAAGGTGGTACACATAACTATAGATTCAGTATATGGTAGCTTTGATCTCTTTCCTTCTGGACTCTGTGAAATATTCAACAGTGATTCCTTGGTGAGATTTCCCTCCCCCCCACCTTTGAATCTGCTCTGAATGCTAACTCAGCCAGCTGCTTGAAATTCTGATTCAGGTCTTGCTGATTTCATTAAGCCTACTTGGATTGCTCAGAATATTAACAGGTTACTATTTTCTTATTCAAGAGTGTCTCAGGTTGGTTTCCCAAGCAGACTAATAGCAACCGGCTTGTCTGGTTCAGCTGATGGGCTGACATGAAGGGCTGCGGGTAGAGTGGAGGTCAGTATAAGGAATGCATTTCTTTTTCAAATCGGTCATCACAAACAGCGTTCATCTGACTTGTGTTTGGCATTTTTCGGGGAAGCGGTAAAGCTTTTTGATCTCGTCCAACAACAATCTTGTTTTGTATAAACAAATAACGTTCACATATGTCCAAGTTGTCCTTTTTGATCTGCTTCTCACTATTTTGGGTTCTCTCCCAGCCTGCATCAGAGCTAATAATTATCCCGCTCCCCATTCGGTTTGCTTTAAATATCGGTGACAAATTTTTCCTGGCACTGAAAAGGATCTGCCCGCTATTGTTCTTCCTTCCCTGTCAACAATCATCTCTTTATTACTGAGTTATCCTTAGAAAACTCTTGGTGAGGGTTGTGCTCCACTTACAGATGTTGGTTGTTGATTTTTACATGTAACTTTCAACATTTTAAACAGATTCATTCTTAAAATGTTGGTTTTAAATGTGAAATACAAATCACTATTAAAGCTGGCCATTAAATGTTTATTTCCCACAAAAAATGTTGATATTAACATTGAAATTTCTCTGAAACTTTTGGAGGGGTTTGTTGAAATACTGAAAAAAATCCGTTTTCTTCCAAGTTTTTTTTCGTTTTCAAAAAACCTTGTTGAAAATGGGCTCTCTTACTGCAAATTCCATTTTGATAGAAATGCCTTATTTTGGTTGAAAAAGCCCATTTTGAGCTAAGTATTTAGACGAGCTTTAGTCTCTATGCAAATGTGTGTTTGTAAACTGTTTTATCCTGTGTGCTGGGATCTTGTTAGACCTCAGGAGCAAGAAGGGTCTGACCTGGTAGGAAACTCTGAAGAAAAACCGAGGGTAGTGTAAAGTGTGTTTATGCAATAGGTGGCTCTCTTCCCTCTGAGTCAGTAGCAATTCAGAGCCAGATTTTCAAAGTTATTTTGGTGCCTAAAGATGCAGGGGCCTAGAGGAGTTTTCAAAAGTGCCAAAAGCGGGTTAGGCACCTGAGTCCCTGAAAATTCTAATAGACATTTAACAACATCTTTAGGTACCTAAATACCTTTTGAAAATCTGACCCCCCCCGGTGCTTCCAGGGGGGCAGTATACTTCTGGCAGTGCTTTTAAGAGGCCTGATTCTCCATTGCTGTGCGTCTTGTGTAATCTCTGTGCAAAATGATTGTAAAACAGTCGTGTGTGTGTGTGTGGAGAGTTCTAAGTTGGTATCATCTTGCACCCAGCTTGCATGCCTTCTGCACAGATGTAAGTGACAACTCAGGGTGTAAGGCAGTGGCAAATCTGGCCTAAGGTTCTTCCCGCTTATGATCATTAAAGAGCTTAGTAACATTTTCAAGTTAACTCCTGGTGTGCTCAATCAGATAATTGCATTCTGCTTATCTAAAATTCTCCCTGCAGTTTCAGTTGAATACAGCATT